AGTTTGGGGTGGGGGGCCACAAAATATAAGATCAAGAGGGAAAGACACAACAGAACAAGCAATTCAAGCAACTCAGCAACAGTACAGGCTTTTAAGCACTTTTTTTTTTTTGGCCTTCTTGAGACAGGGTCTCCTTGTAGCCCCAGCTAGCCCGAAACTCACTATAGAGACTAGGCTGGCCTTGATCTCACAGACATCCACCTGCCTCTGCCTTCCAAGTGCAGAGATTAAAGGCATATGCCACCATACCTGGCTAACAGTACAGGCTTTTATACCAGAGGAAAACCTGCAGGAATCTCTGGTGTAAGAATCAGAGCCTGGGTTCTGGTTACAGGCTGGGGTACTTCTATGGTAGAAAAAGGCAGAGGAGTAGCTTTCCTTTTTGGCTTGAAGTTGGCTGTTGCCAGGGGTAACCAGTGAGTCAATTAAAAAATGCCAGGTGATTGATAAACATCTCATGTCTGGCCATTACTGGGGGTCAATGGGTTGGGGAGGGTAAGAATCCAGAAAGACAAGTTACTTTAATTCTCAGAACCAAATCACTTGAGTTTTGAGAGTGTCATTGTTCAACCAAAATGAAGGAACTTTACAAGATGGCATTGTTACAGAAGCAAAAAATAAAAGAAAGAAAACCTTAAAACTGGTCAAGAGAGTAACACTCTCTGACCTGGGTGGAACCTGAACTTTCCAGTTTTTCCAGATCACCTGGTCACAGGACTATCCCTAGGAAGGTAATTATGCTAAAGAGATTGGTGGAATATGTAAGTGTTTTAATGAGATGGAAAACTTTTCCTTCCCATAATTCCTGCCCCTTAGGGCAGTGCTTTTTAACCAGGCCACAGACATGTGATTCTCTGTAAGTGTGTCTGCTTTTCTGAATTCTTCAGAAAAGTGTAATCTCTCCTTTTCTTCTTTATATATTTTTTCTTACCATGCATTCCCTAACACTTTGGAGCTGCCGCAACATTTTGGGCTCTTTGCCTTTTTCTCTAAAACTCCCCTCTCTGCTGTCCAGCTGCTAGTCCACCACGTCTGACCTCCATGCTGGCTCTAAACCAGCATGGCTTCATGACTTTTTTTCCTTCTCCCCTCTATTCTCCTCTTCAAGGCAGTTGCTGAGTTTTACAGCTCACCTGCCCTGAGGCTTTTTCTTTAAATTCTAATAAAATTTTCCTGAAGCTTCCATGAGTCCATTCTTAAATTCTCTTCTAAGACTAAGAATCCTAAAGGGAAACTGTTTTTCCCTGTATCAAAACCAGACTTTACTTTTTTTAATACAAAAAGTGCAGTTACTTTTGCATCAACTTAATAGACTTTAAGCATGAGGATTAAGGAAGGAAAGAGGTACTTGGAAAGAATAAGGCATACCTGAGAGTATGAGTACAGCTCCTCTACCTGAGTTGTTCATTATCATAGTCTATATAGGATTTGGGTGGTTTTGAAGCTGTTACCTTCAAAAGGTTACTAAGGAACCTAAATGAGATCACAGGGTGGTTCCTGAGGGGTACCTGACAGGACTGCAGTTGGTAAGGGCATAATCTTAAGGGGTAACAAAGGCCAAAAATTTGTCTTCTATAATTTCTCTTTTTTTAAGCATTTCTTTTAATTAACTAACTAACTAATTTATTTATTTATTTATTTATTTATTTATTTATTTATTTATTTTGGTATTTTTAAGACAGGGTCTCCCTGTAGCCCCAGGTATCCTGGAGCTTGCTCTGTAGACCAGGCTGGCCTCGAACTCACAGAGATCTGCTTGCCTCTGCCTCCTTAGTGCTAGGATTAAAGGTGTGTGCCACCACACCTGGCAAGCATTTCTTTTTAAATGGTTTCTTTATTATTTTTATTTTATGTGTACGTATGTATTGCCTTCATGTGTATAAGTGCACCATGTCATGCAATGCCCACAGAGGACAGAAGAGGGTGTCAGAGCCCCTGGAACTAGAATTACAGACAATTGTTAGCTGCCATGTGAGTGCTGGAAATTGAACCTGGGTCTTCTGCAAAAGCAGCCAGTGCTCTTAGTCGCTGAGCCATCTCTCCAGCTCCTTCTATAATTTCTTCAGGCTTAATAGGGACATAGAGTCTACCTATCCAGGGATCAAAAAAATCTCAACCTGTCTGATCTAAGGAGGACATGAGAGTTTAAAACTTTTAGATTGGAGGTTCATCATTTGAAGAGGATCTAGAAGAAATGATGTCATTACTCAAGACATCCAGCTAAGCATACAGAAGACTATTGTGTATAAGATTAGCATCAAAAAATAGCAGGACCTTGTTATCATGAAATATCTGGTAACTATCATGTTAGCAAATCATTAAAACTTAAGGCAGGGGCTGGAGAAATGGCTCAGTGGTTAAGAACACTTGCTGTTCTTCCAGAGGACCCAGTTTCAATTCCCAGCACCCACATGGTGGCTAACAACCATCCATAACTCCAGTTCCAGGGGATCCGACTCCGTCTTCTGGCCTCTGCGGGCTTCGCATGACACAGGTGCACTTACACACATTCAAGCAAAACACTCATGCACATAAAAATTAAAATAATAGGTAAAATAGTTTTAAAACTTACAGAATCTGCTGGGCATGGTGGCGCACATCTTTAATCCCAGCACTCGGGAGGCAAAGGCAGGTGGATCTCTGAGTTCAAGGCCAAGCCTGGTCTACATAGTGAGTTCCAGGCCAGCTGGGACTACAGGGAGACCCTGCCTCAAAAAGGCAAAAAAAAAAAAAAAACCAAACAACTTAAGACAGAATCTGATACAGGTCTAATTTAGGTATGTAAATCTTAGAGGATTGAGGACGTTATCCCTGTTGTCAGATATATACACAGGATTTCTTTAGTAACAATACAGGTTCCCTTTACATTATTGTCAGAATATTAAGAGCCATCAGGTCTTGTATGATAACTCTCCCCATTACTTCTTCTTAGACACTAAATGATCTCTTTAGGGTTGAACTAACTCCTGTCAAAAATGGAAAAAGAATCAATGGAGCAGATATACCCAAATTCTTTCCTGTCCTTTGAAGACACCTGTGGTGGTTTGAATGAGAGTATCCCCCATAGGATCCAAGTATTGAACACTTGGTTAGTTGGTGGTGCTCTTTGGGGAGGATTAGGAAGTTTGGCCTTGTTGGAGGAAGTCTGTCACTGGGGGCAAGCTTTGAGTACATAGCCTACTCCATTTGTGCTCTCCCTCTCTCACTGCCTCCCTCCCTTCTTTCTGTGCCTTCTTGAAGATGTGAGTGATCACCTTTCTGCTCTAGCTATCTCCTCCATCATGATGGACTCCTATCCCTTTGGAACTATAAGCCCAGTAAACTCTTCCCTTCTATACATTGCCTTGGTCATGATGGTTTATCGCAGCAAAAGAAAAGTAGCTAATATAACACCCAGAAAGGAATGTGAATTTTGTTCCTCTTCTCAGCTTGACAGTATATATGCTTGCTTTTTCTCTTTTGTTCTTTTGAGATAGGGTCTTGTTCTTTAGCCCTTGATGGCCTTATATTCATTATGTAGTCTAGGCTGGCCTTAAACTCATGGCAGTCCTTCTGCCTTAGTCTCCAGATCCTGAATTATAAGCATATACTGAGCTGCCACACCAAGCCTATTTTTTCTTATCGTTATGCAAAGACTGTGTTTGTGGCTTCATTTCTGTTTGAGGCTCTGGCAGTTTACTTTGGCTTCTTGGGGTACAAGGATGATCATATAAATTACATAATATAAGAACAACTGATATGGTTTCTAGTTATTACTTGAGTTTTTAAAGTAAAAGCCTGGTCTCTGGCAGCCCAGCAACCTAGCCACCCATCTCCAATATGCCCATTAAAGAGATGAGTAGTAAAAACAGATTAAGAAGATACAATCTCACCGAGCATGGTGGCCCATGCCTTTAATCCCAGCAAAGGCAGGCGGATCTCTGTGATTCCAGGCCAGCTAGAACTACAGGGAGACCCCATCTCAAAATAAACAAACAAACAAAAAATACAGATTCATTAGCAATTAACAAAAAAGGGAATCCAGCGATACGCGTCTGTCTTAGGGGTACTGACATGAAGTTTAGGTTTTTTTGTTTGGTTTTGTTTTTGTTTTATTGTATGTGTAGGTTTTTAAAACGTTGGTTGGCTGGCTGGCTGGCTGGCTGGCTGGTTAGTTTTTGAGATAGGGTCTCATGCAGCTGGCCTTGAACTCTCCTGATCCTCCTACTTCCACCTCCTGAGTCCTAGGATTATAGGCATGCACCATCACTGCACATTGTTTTATGAGGTGCTAGGGATTGAACCTAGGGCTTCATGCATGAGGCAAGCACTCTACCAACTGAGCTATATGACCATACTGAGGTTTAGGTTTAAATAGAGTGCAATAAAATATATAATTAAGCAGTCCTTATCAGGACACAGGCCCACCAGTATCTTAGCTCTGGTGTGTCCTGCCTGTTGGTTTGATAAATTGTCAGAACTGTGTGAAATCTCTTCCTAGGAGATGAGTTCCTCTTACTGTTAGCATCAGGACTACAGCCTTTCCCTTCTCCCAGCATGAGATTCCTGAAGAAATTTTAATTCTTTGGGTCCGTTGTTTCCTTAGCCTGATAGCCAGAAGGAGGAACATAAGTCTCTCTTTGGAGGATCTATTCTCACAGGGCTAGAGAGATGGCTCAGGGGTTAAGAGCACTGACTGGTGTTGCAGAGATCCTGGGTTCGATTCCCAGCACCCACATGGTGGCTAACAACCATCTCTAACTCCAGTTCCAGGGGATCCAATGCCTTCTTCTGACATCCTCACACACTGCACACACAACACGAATGCACTTATACACATGCAGGCAATATACTCATACACATTAGAAAAAAAAAACAAAATAAATAAAATATTTAGAGTATTTATTCTCTTTCCTACCCAGGGAGGTTACATTATCACTCTAGTACCTGCAAGAAGGACACTGGAATGTGTCCCCCAGGATCCAACACTGCAGCTCTAATCAGTGTTCTTTTTCTTCTAGGGGATGTACATTTCTTCTCAAGAGGCCTTCTGTTTTTTCACCGTCATCATGGAAGTATCATCATTTCCAAGGATTACATAAATTCTGTTTCCTTCTATGATGGGGTAAGTGTTTTATTAACCCCTGGTTTTTGGTGCTCTAAAAGATAACCCATTCTTCTGAGGGGAAAACCAAGTAACTTCCTCTACCAGTACTTTGTGGTAGGATGTCACGAACCAGAATAACAATTGAGGCAGGTCAGCAAGGATGGTTAGAAGGACTGTCACTCATAACTTTTATGTGCTTTGCTAGAAAGGCCTCTGGGTCCATTCCCAATTCACCCATCCCAAAGAGAAATAGAAAGTAGTCTGAAAGGGCCTCCAGTGACCTCTCACAAAAACACAAGGCTCATACATACACTTCAGAACTAGAAAGAAGTTCATCCTATGACACCGATAGGAATCTACCTATTTCCTTAGCCATGAGAAAGAAAGCTAAATGAGCCAAAAAGGTAAAAATTGTTCATTTTCCCTATGAGCGCTTAACACCTCTTTCTTATACACAGGCTTAACCTCTACCACCATGAATGTACCACCCTCAGAACCATCCTTAAATTTGCTCTTCCCTTTGGGAAGAGTGGATCTGGGTTTCCCTCAGCTTGTACTCACTGACCAGAGCATAGTGTATCTCTCTCAGTATAACATAGAAGTAGAGGGCAGACCCTCTACTTGCCTCGGTCTCAGCCTCTAAGGCAGCTTGTTGGACAACTAGAACAGAAGTGAAATGAAATGGTTTGGCTAGATAACTCAACACATGAATTCATGATCAAGCCTTTCTTTGATATAAACCCTACTGCACTAAATGTTGTTCAGAAATTGGACCGATCAACTGGGCAGATTGGATAGCCTTATTAAATAAGAGGGGTTTTTTTCATTTATTTATAATTTATTTATTTATTTATTTATTTATATATTTATTTATTTATTTATTTATTTATTTATTTAATGTATATGAGTGCTTTGCTTGCATGCATGTAAGTGTAGTACATGCATGCAGTGCCCATGGAGACCAGAAGAGGGTGTCCAATCCCCTGGAACTAAAATTAAGGGTAGTTATTAGCTGCCATGTAGGTGCTGGGAACCAAACCTGGGTCCTCTGCAAGAGCATCCAGTTCTCTTAACCAGTGAGCCATCTCTCCTGCCCCCTGTATTTACTTAATATCTTTTTTTAAATGTGTATGAGTATATTGCCTACATGTGCATAAGTGCACTCATGCTGTGCAACGCCTGTGGAGGTCAGGAGAAGGAGGTCAGATCTCCTGGAACTGGAATTACAGACAGTTGGTAGCCACCATGTGGGTGCTGGGAATTAACTCAGATCCTCTGTAAGAACAGTCAGTACTCTTAACTGCTGAGCCATCTCTCCAGCCCTACTTAATATCTTTTAATTATGTGTATGTGTCTCTCTTTGTGTAGATATGTGCACAAGTGCAGTTGTCTGCTGTGAAGTTAACTCAGGTCCTCTGGAGGTGAAGGAAACACTCTAGGAGTATCTGTCCAATCCTTAGATAAGAGAGTTGTTCATTTGTTTGTTTGTTTGTGTTTTTTTATTTATTTTTATTTTTGTATGCCTGTGTATATGTATGCCATCTGGGGGAAGGGGGGAAAGAAGAGGGTGTCAGATCCCCTGCAGCTGGAGTTACAAGTGGATATGAGCCACCCAACATGGGTGTTGGGAACAAAACTTGGGTTCTCAGTAAGAACAGCAAGTATTCTTAATCACTGAGCTATCTTTCCAGCCCAAGAATTTTGATATTAGCTTTTTAAAAATTATTTATTTAATAACCATATAATTAGAAGAGGCATTTCATTACAACAGCACTGACATATTCAATAACAATTTCCAGAGCTTAAGATGCTTCTCTTTCAAAATTAGCTGTAAATTTTTAGGTTTACTGTTGAATTAATAAAGTTATACAATATTGTACTCTGTATAAACCCTATAAGACATAAAAATAAATGAGGTTTTAAACTTTGAAAAAGATCTCCATTTCATTGTTAAAATACACAGTTTAATTCATTTTTAATACAGTTGACACTAAGATGCACATGCATTTCTAATCTCTATATATCTCATTATTACTAGTCACAGTTGCTTACTTTCTGAGCTCCTTGACATCTGAGCGTGGATATAAAGTCATCAGGTAGATTTCAATGGTAATGTTTTTCACATCTACTAATTATTAAGGAGCAAATTTTTATGCTTTAAGGAATTTTTTTTTATACAC